CTGTAATCAAATTTAGGTATTAATAGATTATTATTCAAAGTGTTAGTAAAAGACTTTTTTATTCTATTTAAAACTATTTAAGGTTTATCTGTTATTATGTAAAAGTATCTAATCAAATTTTAGAATTAAATATAATAATCAATATTGTATAATTAGATGATGATAATAAAATCAGTATAATATTATTTAAATTAATATTATAAAATTAATATATATAAATATTTAGTATTATATTAAATCATTTTTAGAATTTTTTCTGAAATATTAAATAATGTAAATATTTTAGATGTATAATAGTTACTGTTTTTTAATATATTAGATAGCAATTTTTAAATAAATAATTGATTTTGGCTACAATATAATATTTTGATATTAGTTTTTTTAATAGTAAAAATAAAAATAGGAAAATTAAATGAAAATAAAATTATGATAAATAATTTTATAAAAAGTATAATTATTAAATTTAATTATTTTAATAATAATTATTTATATTATATATTTATTTTGATTTTGTTAAAAGTTTTAAAAATAATAATTAGTAAATGGGATTTATAAATTAAAAAATAAATTTATTTATTATTTATTATTTTTTTTTATTTAACTTATTTAACTAATCTAATTTAATTATTTAATTGTATAATTATTTTAATAAAATTTATTTAATAATATAATAATTAATAATTAAACTTTTGAATATCTAATTTAAATATTTACTAAAAAATTATATTTTAAAAATACTTATTAATATTTAAATAAATTTATTAGATTAAGATAAATTATATTTTAATATTTTTTAATTAAATAAATAATAATTAAACAATAAGTTTTATAATAAGTAAATATAGTTGATTTCTGATATATTTTCTTAAACAGATTAATAGTTATAAATTTTTATTAAATATAATAAAAGAAATAAAAATAAAAATATTAAATCTAATATAATAAAAAACTTGAAGATTGAAATATTTTAATAATAAACTTATAGATTTATATTAAATTAATTAATTGCTTAATAAAAACTAATCAAAATATTTAATCAAAAAAATAAGAATCATCTTTATTTTTTATAGCAAATTTTTATTAATTTTACTTATTAAATTAAAAAAAAAATTTGTAAAAGAATTATTATATACTAAATATAAAAGTTTACAATAGATAGTTATTTACTAAAATTAATTTTAAATTTTTAATTAATAATAAAAATAATTTTAATGATTATTTTAATTTAATAAGATTAATTAATGCTCTGAATGGTTCAGTTCGGTCTGGATTATAGGTCAATCTGAAACTGAACTGAAAATTTCGGTTGGTTCGGTTCAGATTAAAAATCTTATAAATGCTAATCTAAAACTGAACCGAACTGTAAACCGGTAAAAATCTGAATTGAACTGAAAATTTTGGATTAATCTGAAATCTCAGATCGTTCAAAATGATAACTTCAATCATTTCAAATGAACGATTTTTTATCATTCCAAAAGAACAATTTTCTTATCGTTCGTTTAGAACGATATTTTGATCGTTCTAATTGAACGATTCTATTATCATTCGTTTAGAACGATATTTTGATCGTTCCAATCGAATGATTTTCTTATCGTTCATTTGGAATGATATTTTGATTGTTCCAATTGAACGATTTTTTTATCGTTCAATTGGAACGATGATTTTATTGTTCTAATCGAATGATTCTATTATCGTTCGTTTGAAATGATATTTTGATCGTTCTAATCAAACGATTTTCTTATCATTTGATTAGAATGATAATTTCATCGTTTCAATCAAACGATTCTTTTATCATTCGTTTAGAATGATAAATTTAATTGTTTCAAACGATCGGAAATTTCAGATTAATCCGAAATTTTCAAATTGAATTTTTTGCAATCTGAAATAGAACTGAAGTTGATCTGAACCGAAAATTTTCAAATTAATCTGAACCATTCAGAGCTTTAAGATTAATTCTAGATTAAATAAATTTAAAATTAATTCTAATAATATAGCAATTATATGAAAATTATAATTTAATATATATTTTATCAACTTTATTAGAAATATTTTTATAATTATTAAGAAGTTTTAAATAATTTAATTTTTAAAATTAAGTTTTTATAATAAATTTTTTTAAAATTCATGTTACGAATTAATTAAATTATTTTACTACTAATAAAGTTGTAAAATTTCTTAATAAATCATAAAATTATAATAATTAAAGTTATTTTTTATCCCTTAAATTATAAGTATATAATTGTTTTTAAAACATTTAAAATATTTTGATATCTGATGATTATAAAAAAATAAAATAAAATTTTTAGATTTATCATATTATGATATGTCTAAAGGTAGTATTTTTAAACATAATTATTAATATATATTAATTTTTAATTTTTTAATTTTTAAAAATAATTTATTATCTAATAATTACAAAAATATAAAATTTATTATAAAAGTATTAATTTTTTAATGATATTTAAAAATATTTAAAAATAATTAAAATTGTTTACAAATTTATAGACAAAATAGTTGAAGGAATAATAAAGTTTATAATATTACATTATAATTAATATTTTTAAAAATTAAAGTTAATAAAATTGACAAAAGTTAATAATAAAAATTTTTAATATAAAATTTTCTAGCTTATAAGAACTTAGATTATTTATTATATAATTAAAATTAAAATATACTATGATATAATATATATTTATAAAATTAATTTAAAAAAATGTTTTTTAATAAAATTTTAATTTTTATATAATAAATTAAAAGGAAATTTATAACAAATAAATAGATAAATTTATCTATAAACTTCTATAATTTAAGAAATAAATTATATTTTAAAATTACTTTTTTATACAAATCTTAAAAAATATATTTAATAGAATTTGATTATACAGTCAACTCTTGTTATAGTGAACTCTTGTTATAACGAATTTTTTGAACAAATATAATAAAAATACTCTTGTTATAGTGAATTGACCAATAAAATCTCTTAAAATCTTCACTATAGCCTTATAGCGAAGTTGAGGTCTAGGACATAGAGTTCGTTATAACAAGAGTTGACTGTATTATTTAAAAATTTAATATTATAATATTATATTTATAAAATTTATAAAATAATTAAATATTCTTATTTTATTATTAAATAATAAAGATATTTATTTTATTAAATAAGTAAAATTTATGAAATTTTAAATTAAAATAAATATAATAATATAAATAAAAATAATTGTATATTTTATATTTTAATAATACTATTTAAAATGGTAAAAAAATATGATAAAAGTAATTTTAAAAAGTTAAATTATAATAATAAACTTGTTTTGAATAATAAAACTAGTTTAAAATAATGAAAAATATAAGTAATATATACAAAATTATTTATTAAAATATCTTTTATATAGTTTTATTTTTCAACTTCATTTAAAATTAAGATTTAAAAATTTTTTATAATCATTGTTAAAGTTTCATATGTTAAAAACTTAATTGAATCACTTTTACTATCAATAAAAGTCAAAATTTATCAAGATTGTAATTTCTTTATAATAAATTTTATTAATCTAGTTATAAGTAAATTATAAGAAGATTGCTAATAATAAAAGTTTTGGGTAACCTTAAATGATAAATGAAAATTATTATAATAATTTAAAAACTTGAAACATCCCCTTTTTTTTTGCGTCCGCCTTATGACACGCTGGCGCAGAGAATCTAGATGATGGCCCGATGAATAAAGTTTAAAAGGTACTTCGTGAGAAAAGAACAAGGAAAAATATCAAAAGATAAGGTTGTAATACAATACACGTTGTTCAGCCAGCAAAAATATTATATGATCGAAAATTGAAGCGATAAAACTTGATCTTTATGCATAAATTTCATAGACAACAGATAATCGTGCTTTATCTAATTGATTTACTGATAGGATGTTTCCGATAACTTCTGCTGCGGTTAACTATAAATGAAGAATTGCAAATCACTTCCTGCGAAAACAAAATACCGGATCTCTATCTTTGACGTTTCTTATTTATTATTATTAAACTATCTTTTTTTGTCATTTATATGACATTTTCTTTGGAACTGTGCTCTGAATTTAGATATTTTTAATTATTGATAAGATCAAATTCGAATATTGCTTAATTTAGAAAATAAATAAATATTTTATAGATTCGCATAAATTAGCTTCTTCCATAACTTTGGTTTATCTGATCGAATGTTCTATAAGAAATACACAAAGTTTATTAAATACATAGTTTGTTTATAGCAAAACAAATTTTTTATGGGGTCCAAGAACCGCCGAAATTATTACCTATCAATCATCTGTCATTCATTATCAAGGTTAGAGTATTGTAAAAAAAACTTACTAAAAATAATTTGGTAAATTATGTAATGTTACATTCATAAATAACTTTTGTTTTTATTTTATTTTATTATCAACAAAAATTTCTTATCACATATCGTTCTTTGGGTAATTCTCAACTTGAACCAATGATTTCTCACATCATAATCTTCTTTTCTTCATCAATTTACTAAAATGATCATTATAAAAAAAAATCTTTTGTATTTTTTTGAACCGGACATTTGCGAAAAAAAAAAAAAAAAAATACCTGATAAATCATATGGCGTCCTATTTTTTGTTTGTTACCCTACGTCCGGTTGTAAAACTCGAGATAAGCCTAAAATGTATATATGTCGTATAAGAGCATCTATGTGTTGATTACTGAAATATACATAAAAATCAAATGTATTGAATTGAATGATCCACATGACATTTAACTACAACTGATTTTACTTATTGATTATCCGTTTCAATGGGGGTAGACTAAATGATTTAAAAAAAAAAAAAAAAAATTGGTTTGATTATCTAAAAGTATTGAAACATTTTGTTATATAAACTCGTTAAATTTTACCTCTTTAACTTTAAATCTCTCATTCTAAAAATTAAATTTTAACATCCTTAAAAAAATCTATAACCTTTTCTTCTCAACAATCAAAAAAAAAAAATTTATTAACGAAAAATGGCTGTTGCTAACAAATCTAACACTCAAACTCTCGCTAAATACCTTTCTCTCGATCAAGGTGGTAAAATCCAAGCCGAATACATCTGGATTGACGGCGATGGTGGACTTCGTGGGAAAACCACTACTCTTGATTTTAAACCAACTGATGTTTCCGAATTAAAAGAATGGAATTTTGATGGTTCTTCAACTA